GATGGGATGAGTGTCCAAATGTAGAGACACAAGTGTCACCCACTAGTTTCTGCTTCATGTGGGGGAAGACTACTTGACCTGTTTTATGTCTACATCTAAGAGGCAAAATCTAAAGAGCTGTACACTATGGCTCATGAGCCAGGTCACTGTGAGATGACCAGTAACTGACACCTACAAAGTAGATGTATACATGTGCTATCTAGTAGAGAAGAGATTGTTATATGATGGAAGATCCGTGAATGCTAAAGAGACAACCACCCCAAAGGGAGACCTACAGGGACTCAAATATCTCTATAACACATATAGAGAAGGTTGAGAGAGAAGTGTGTTCTCACCCATATCTTGCAAAGTTGGCCCAGTACTTCATCATCCTCCTGTTCAATAGCTCTTCCTCCTCAGTAAGGACAACTGGAGTGATGGGAAAAATAAATGTTGAAGTCCATGATGCCACACACAACTGCCAAATCATGCCTTATACTCACAGTTCCAGCTGCTGTCAGAACTGTAACTATCAGCTTTGTTACCTCCCTTCTTCACTATACAATACCCAACATCCACGCATGCCTCTAATTGAATTCATGCCCCAGTGTGCTGTAATCTCCATGACAGGCTAGACTGGGACAGGCCCAGATTCTAATCTTAGTCTGATTTTTGGGATATGATATGGTACAAATTTGATTTCTATCATCTCCCAGAACCTGGTTTTCCTCAAATAGACTAAGAGCTCAGGAGTCCCTGAGGTGTCATCTGAGACCTCCATCAGCTCAAGCAGAATAAGGAAGACTCACGTTTCATGCCAAAGAAGAAGGACCCAAAGACAAAAGGAACCTCATCAGCATGGTCAGCCTTCACGTGGGGTGGCCTGATACTCTTGAGGAAGCTGGATTGATGTTGGAATTCATAGAAGTAGACAGGGTTGTGGGAACCTGGAGGTGAGGATGATGAGTGACTTAGTGGCCCCTCACCTGGAGTTTTTCTGATATGTATTTGGTGACAAGGTACCTTGATCTAAAGTTACCTGGAATCATAAATGTTAAAGAGGAGAGGAAGTTCCAAGCTGGAGCACTAGCTGTGGAAAAGCCCATGGCAAAACACTGCTCAGGGCCTTCCCAGCTGAGTGGTTATATCAAGTCAATAGATTATCAGCAACTCATTTTCTCCGCTGTACCTAGATGTCACTCTCTTTAACTAGACATGAGACCTGGATTTTACACTGCTCCACAGTGCTTACCAGTGACCTACATCTCTGAGCTGCTCCCTTAAGCCTTGTTACAGAGGTACTTACGCTGAAAATGTGCTACTTGGAGTGCAGGGATCACAAACATGAAGTCTCCCATCATCTCTGTGTACTGTATTTGGAGGGTCTGGGCATCTTCAGTGTCCCCCATGTACTCTTCCATTAGCAGGTCACCACACTCAGGAGGCAGCATCTACACCAAGGAGATAGGGAATAATGAGGCTAGTAATGTTGTTGGTTAGGTAGGCAACAGTCTTTGGTATGGGAGAACAGGGCCTGTGATCAGATAGGGTGTAGATAAAAAGATTCACGGTCTGAGGTCACCACACACAGAATTACACATATATACTGACCTTCATTAATAGGGATGCTGTCTGAGGAGATATAAGGGACCTTTCTTTTTGGATAGGACCAGATGTATCTTACCATTTGTGCTGCTGTATTCTTCAGAACATCCTGCAGGTTCTCTCTGGTTATTTCCTTTATTGTTTGAGCAGAGCCCATGACCTGGGAGATAGAAATGTGGGATCTGATGGACTTGGATTAGAGATGTATTGAGTTCCCTGTACTTAACATATGAGTCTCCAGACTCCCAGAGGGTTGGAATTGAGTCTCACCATGGGGAGGATCCAACTATACTCATCATTGTTGACACCAATGATGCTGGGGACAGGGTGAAAATCCACAGAGGCCAACAACTCTCTGGGATGCCTGGGTAGGAATACCCCATCTACCACAGCAGGGATGATCTTGAACACCTGAGAGGCAGTAAAAGTTAATGCTGAAGGTCAATAAAATACATATGCTGATCCAATGAGTTACTACCACCATTTTATCATGTCTTACTAGCCTCAGGGTGCTAAGCTCATTCTGGAAGAGAATCTAAACTTGGATTAGCCTATCTTGGTGTTCATATTGTACACAGAACTAATGGACACAAAGTCTGACTAGATATTTTAAGACACACAATTCTACCTACCTTATTAATGACCAGAATCTCTGCTTCACGTTTGCCTCTCAGACAGTGCACCAGGGCCTCTGAGTCCTTGGCCTCACATCCAGACAGGTTGGCAACAGTCTATAAAGGGAAAAAGTGGGGAGAAGAGTTCTCTCGACTCCAACTTGATGCTATTGGACTAACTACCACACTATAGTGTGTGTTGTGTGTGGTTTGTTATAAATATAAATTGTTACCTTTGTGAAAATACTCAAAGCAAGCAGTATA